TAAGAGGTAAGTATACATATCGCAGCTGATTTCCATGGGGAACTCCTCATTTTGGTACACAGTTTATCGACCAATATTCATAGTAGGGTGTCATCCACCTCAACTGGTGCCTGGCGCGAAGTGACTTTGTGCATCCACTGTATCAGCAGCCTATGGTCCATGTATGGACATGGGGGATCCATCGAATTTCCAACAAAAACAACAGGGACTCCGCATCTTGCGTGCTGTGGATCCCCCCGCAAAAAGTTTAACGTTTTGCTGGTTGAAAGGAAATATAAAGGGAATCCAAAAAGTTAAAGTTAAAGTCTAAAGATCCAATCCAACAGCGTTAGAGGCATGTTGCCCTGTTCGCGAATGCAGGGGACCACTGGTACTCTTCGTCAAGCAAGCGCTCGCTTTCGGCCATAGCGCGCGAAGAGGAAGCAGGAGGCGCCGTAGCCCAGGAACGGCTCAATGGTGCCGGCGACTAAGTAATGCACCACCTGTAGGGCTATCCCTGAAAAAGCCGGGGAAAAGCCAAGGACAAGCCCTTAATCAGGCCTAAGAGGTTCATAAGTGACAGCCCCTCCCCCCCTCGCCAGAGCCCCCCTTGGAGAAAACCACAGGGATGGCTCCTAGGATGAACATGCACAAATAAAACTCCTGCTTGATTTAAAGAAGCGGGATTGATCCCGTTTTTAGAGGAAATCACAAAACATGCAACACCTTGGGTGCTTCTCAAAATTCGGCATCCTGCTGGCTGGTTTCCTTTCAGTTTCGCTTTGAGACCATGCTACAAGGGAGGATTTTGAGAAGCATGGTGGGCCTAGGATTCACAAACGCTGGCTGATTGATAGGGAGGGGGGGGGTCCTGGTTTAGAGTGAGTCCTGCACTGTTTTTCAGACCCCTAGTGATCTGCAAGGTTGACTAATCCGGGGTTGATAATCCCAAACAGGGATCCTTACATTATGCACCTGAACATTGCCTTGTAAATGGTGGTTTCCCTTTATTTTAGTGGAAACAGCCATGTTTCAAATGGGCAAAATGTATCTTCTAAGGAGCCCTGCAAAACCGCGTGATTTGTTTAATGCTCAGATTCACGCGGAGGCCCATACCAATCCGAGCGACCTCCTCAAACATGATAGCCCCCACTAAGACGCACCACCCCTGACTGACCTGGCCTTCAATCCAACGTCATTGCCTTCCCGTTGACATGAAACCCATCGGGCTCAAGAAGGTTCCATAGAGCAGGCACCGCCTCTTGAAAGGACCCCCTGTCAGGCGCCGTGGCATGGAGGGTAGCTGCAAGAATGATCCTTCCAGGATCCAGTTGGACCGCTGACCAGGGTGGGGGAGGAGCAGTAGAAGGCTCAGGGCTCTAGATTCAAACTATATGAGTGTGCTTGTGTGAGAGTGCGAGTGTGCGTGTGAAAGAGTGCAAGAGAGTGAGAGAGTGAGTAGATGAGTGAGTGAGGTGAGGTGAGGTGAGGTAAGGTGAGGTGAGTTGAGGTGAGTTCAGTTGAGTGGGGCGGGGCGGGGTGGAGTGGAGTGGTGTGTGTGTGTGTGTGTGTGTGTGTGTGTGTGTGTGTGTGTGTGTGTGTGTGTGTGTGTGTGTGTGTGTGTGTGTGTGTGTGTGTGTGTGTGTGTGTGTGTGTGTGTGTGTGTGTGTGTGTGTGTGTGTGTGTGTGTGTGTGTGTGTGTGTGTGTGTGTGTGTGTGTGTGTGTGTGTGTGCGTGCGTGCGTGCGTGTGTGTGTGTGTGTGTGTGTGTGTGTGTGTGTGTGTGTTTTTGATTGTTTGTGTTGCGTTGTTTGTGTGTGTGGATGTGTTTGCTTGTTTGTTTGTTTGTTTGATTGAATGATTGATTGATTGATTGTTTGTTTGGTTGATTGACTGATAGTTTGTTTGGTTGCTTGTTTGTGTGCGTGTTTGTTTGTGTGTGTGCGTGTTTGTGTTTATGCGGGTGTTTGTGTGTGTGTGTGCGTGTTTGTCTGTGTGTGTGTCTGTGTGTGTGTTTTTGTGTGTGTTTTGTACGACCCGCCAGGAAACTTACCCCATTTCTAAAGAACTTGGCCCACCATGGCCAACCCCCCATGGCACACAACTTAGCCCACAACACCAAGAACTTAGCCCATTTACAAAACTGCTTGGCGCACCTCATCAAAAATGCGCGTTTATGTTACGACTGCCTTGTCCGGCTAGCTCGTGCCTATGCGTTTTCACATTAGCTTCTACTTGTTCTTTGTTCGCGGCTCAAGTTTCCCGAGGACCCAGTACTTGCGTACTTGTTTAATTGATTTGTGTTTCTCTGTGTAGTTGGTTGTCTGTCTGTTTGTTTGATTGATTGTTTGTGTGTGTGTTAGTTTCTTTGTTTGTTTGTTTGTTGGTTGGTTGGTTGGTTGGTTTGTTCGTTTGTTGGTTTGTCTGTTTGTTTGTTTGTTCGTTTATTATTTGCTTGCTTGCTTGCTTGCCTGCTTGTTTGTTTGTTTGTTTGTTTGTTTGTTTGTTTGTTTGCTTGCTTGCTTGTTTGTTTGTTTGTTTGTGTTTGGTTGATTGAGTGTTTGATTGTTTGTTTGTTTGTTTGCTTGCTTGCTTGCTTGTTTGCTTGTCTGTTTGTGTGTTTGTTGTTTTTTTGGTGGTTGATTATTTGTTTGTTTGTGGGTTTGTTGCTTTGTTTGTTTGCTTGCTTGCTTGCGTGCGTGCGTGCCTGCTTGCTTGCTTCCTTGTGTTTCTGGATGCTTCGATGCTTGGGTGCTTGGGTGCTTGTATGTGTCTAGTGTCCTGTAGTGTGCTGTTTGTTGTGTGCCGGGTCTTGTGTGTTGTGTGCGTGCGTGCTTGTGTGCCTGTGTGATTGTGTGTTCGATTGTTTGTTTGCTTGTTTGTTGGTTTGTTGGTGTGTTGTGTGTGTTGTGCGTGTGTGTGTGTGTGTGTGTTGTGTTGTTTGTTGTGCGCTGTGCGACGTGTCTTGTGTGTGTGTGTCTTGCGTGTGTGTTGCGTGTGTGTTGCCTGTGTGTGTTGCGTGTGTGTTGCGTGTATATGTCTGTGTGTGTTGCGTGTGTGTGTGTGTTGCGTGTGTGTGTGTGTGTGCGCGTGTGTGCGTGTGCGCGCGTGCATGCGTGCGTGCGTGCGTGCGTGCGTGCGTGCGTGCGTGCGTGCGTGCGTGCGCGCGGGCGGGCGGGCGGGCGGGCGTGCGGGCGTGCGTGCGTGCGTGCCTGCGTGCGTGCGTGGGTGTGTGTGTGTGTGCGTGCGTGCGTGCGTGCGTGCGTGCAGTGGGTGTGGGTGTGGGTGTGGGTGTGGGTGTGGGTGTGTGTGTGTGTGTGCGTGTGTGCGTGTGCGCGTGTGTGCGTGCGTGCGTGCGTGCGTGCGTGTGTGCGTGTGTGCGTGTGTGGGCGTGTGCGTGTGCGTGTGCGTGTGCGTGTGCGTGTGCGTGTGCGTGTGCGTGTGCGTGTGCGTGTGCGTGTGGGTGTGGGTGTGGGTGTGGGTGTGGGTGTGGGTGTGGGTGTGTGTGGGTGTGTGGGTGTGTGTGGGTGTGTGTGTGTGTGTGTGTGCGTGTGTGCGTGTGCGCGCGTGTGCGTCTGCGCGTGTGCGCGTGTGCGTGTGTGCGTGTGTGCGTGTGTGCGTGTGTGCGTGTGTGCGTGTGTGCATGTGTGCGTGTGTGTGCGTGTGTGCGTGTGTGCATGTGCGTGTGGGTGTGTGTGTGTGGGTGTGGGTGTGGGTTTGGGTGTGGGTGTGTGTGTGTGTGCGTGTGTGTGTGTGTGTGTGTGTGTGTGTGTGTGTGTGTGCGTGGGTCTCTGTCTGTGTGTGGGTGCGCCTGTGTGCCAGGGTGTGTTAGTGCGTGTGGGTGTGTCTATGTGCGCGGGTGTGCGTGTGGGGGGGCGGGCGTGTGAGTGTTTTTTTTTTTAACTACTAGGGAACCCTGTTTGGTGTTAAAAGGACACTGAAAGGAACTCGATCTTTTGGGGGTCCCCCTATTTCAGCACATACCCGTGTGTCCAACCTAAGAATATCGCCTCAAACGGAATCTCGCCTTCAAACACCCGCACCTGGCGGAACTGTAACATTTCTCCGGGATCCGAGAGACAAGATCCTTGGGTCATTGCGATGCTTTTTGAGACAAACATCACCCGAAGAACAGATTCCGGTAGGCTATAATTTTCCCGTGGCGAAACATCTGGACATCGGATCTGTTTTCTAATCAGGTTCCTGCCTTCGAAATGAGGAAATTACCCCAAACCCATGGAGACGCCAGGTGCCCGATGTTCCAACAATTGTGGCCGTGGACAAGGTAGTCTTGCACGCCGTTCCATGGTTGTTGTACAGAGGGCAACATGCTTGGCTAGATGTTTACACACATTGTCTCATAAGTGAAAGAAAGTCACCAACTCCGTTCAAGTCCTAAAGCCGCCAAGTCCAAGCACAAGCCAGGCCGGAAACCAAAACCGAATCCAAGGCGCGTTGGAGGAGGTGCTAAAAAAGATGAGAAACCCGGAGGTGGCGGCCGCAACACGCGCGTGCGTGCCGAACCTCGGGTCGGCCCCAACTTGAGGGACGGAGTGGTAAATGAACGGAGGGGTGCTTCAGGCCCTGTCTTTGAGTCCTGAGTCAAGAGGAGTGGCCGGGGACAAAAAGCATGGGTGTGTCTTTTGTAGGGGACCCCCCTCAAAAATGGCTTCGGCTTTCCTCCGGGGTTGTTGCCCCAAATGAAAGACGAGCCACCCAAATGGCTCTACGGGCAATCCGAAGTTCTGGAAATTTTGCCCACCTGCTTGCGGCTACGTCTACGGCCAATTCAATAGAAACCCCCACTTAATTAGATGGCTCTTCGCACACAAACCCAAAAAAAGTTGTTTTCTTTTGTTTCCTTTTAAAACCAAAGGGTACCAACTCTAAAAAGACAGACCCAAATGAGGTGCTAACTCAACGCGAGGTGGTACCTGCAGAGGCCGCTTTCCATGATTGCTGGACGGGTACGCCTCAAATGAGGAAGCGCCTTTGGTAGCTTTCAAAGGGGGAACCCGAACATTTCCAACTCGAGGCCCTGAACGTTTGGAAAGGGGACTTCCTGATGGAATGGAAAACGATCAGGGATCCATGTCTTAGTCGACTCCTGGGTTAAAGATTTTGGTCGCCCTCGATTGGCGACGCGAGTAATTTAATCACTGTCCATCCCTCATATGCGCCCGGGGAAACAATACTGACTGTCGCTCAAATCGCTGCGAGAAGCTTTCTTCTGAATCTCTTCTGCATCCATTCGCTGATCATTGTCCCACCCGCTGATGGTAGCGGGAGGTTGGACAAGCCATCACTTCAAGTCGTCCAAAAGTCGTCGGCACGCAATCAATATCCCGAGCCAGTTCTCAATCATTTCTTTCGGGTCAGGGAACGAACTAAATAACTCGGGGAGTATCAATCCAACATTGGCAATCCAGAATTCTTCACCTAAACTAAGGCACTCGGAATCCAAGATCCTTCATCCTTTACCGCCCAAAATAAACACCTGCGATGAGGTTCCAACATTTAGTTGTTCCGCAAGCAGACCACAAACAACCTAAAAAGGTGCGCTGAAACGACGACTGGTTCCAACGTGCTTACACAGGCGACTGTTCACCCAAAACCCGAATCATGCTCATGTAAGTGCACCCATCAAGTTTCAAGCATGTGGGGGTAGACTCTCAATTCGGACCCCCAAAAAATAGAGGAACAATTAGCCCCAAGAATCGTGCGTGTCCTTTTGGGTTGCCGTTAACATCAACCAAATGGAGCTTCCCCCAGAAAAGGACAAATGCGTATTGGGGCCGGCTGCCAAACCCCGCCAAGCAGCTCCAGCAGCAGAGGCACCATAAACTCCCCTGGCAGGGTCGTCACTTCGGTAGCGAAGAACCCCAAACCTGAACCGAGCCCCTTGAAAACCTCCAACTTGAGGAAAGAATGTGCTCATTGGTAATAAAGATGGCTATGCCCTAAAATGAGAATGCCAGAATGCCCATTTTTGGTTCACTGATATTGGTTCACTGATACGAACCCCTAGTGTGTGGGCTGAGTACCCACGAATCAGAGCTTACTCGTGGTTCGAAACGGGCCCACATGGATTGAACACCCAGACTGGTCATGGATCCATCGCTGGCTGATTCATGGGGCGTGCTTCCCCATTGTATAAGGGACGAGCACCCATCCATTCGCCAGCTCTACGCATACTGCCCGCAAAAGTCGCGTGCAAGAGTCAGAACCGTGGACGCAGGTCAAGTGAGCCAAGGCGTGAAGAAAATGTTTGCGAATGTAACTTCGCGAGTTCCTGAGCGACAAACATATGTACATGCATGAACACTGCGATCACTCAGCGTCACGTTCACTGAAAAGGTTAGATCAATAGAAATCACCGAGAATCACAACCACCAAAGCGGAATGTACCAGCGAGCCAACACCTGGATCCTAAGCCAAAATTGGGGCTGGCGCTGAACTCCAGCACCAGTTGGGATTGATGAAACCCGACCAACAATTATATACTGGTTGATAAGATTAAACCACCAAATCCCCTGGTGCGAAGTGGTTTGACTGCCATAAACAACCTAGAACCACCCTATAAATAACCACCCTATCATCACCCTATAAACAAACACCCTATAAATAAAGACCCGGTGAATAAACACCCCATAGTCACCGAATAAACAAACACCCTATGAACACCCTATAAACACCCCATGAAGAAACACCCTGTGATTCAATACCCTTTGAGCACTAGTTGAGCAAACCAGCGATCCCAGCCGCCGCTTTCGCCCAAAGCCTCCGGGCCTCCGCCGAGGCCCAGAAGCCCGGCGAGGAGGCCCACGGTGATGGCCAGCAGCGGCACCCAGGCCAGGGCGCGCCTACGTGACGCGCGCGCATGCGCGAACAGGAGGAGGAGGAGGGCTAGGTCCTCCAATTTTTTTGAGCGGTTAGAACAAGTTGGTACCCGATTTCTTTTTCTGCAGGTCTATTTTAGGGGAACTCTCCCCCGAAAAAGGTTAAAAGGGCACTACTGGGGGACCTAGAGGGGATTTTGGGACATGGCTTGTGTTTGTATCCTTTCTCCATGTGGCCTAAAAGTTGGATCCTTTTGTTTGGTATTATCCCCCTCAAGAGTTTCTCTTTGTATCATGTGCCCACTGTATCACAGCTTTTTCCAATGATTTGGAGGTGTCGAGGCCTAGAGGATGAGAGTCTTCCGAAACCGAGTGAACCCGAAAGGACAACAGGTTGGGGTTTGAAAAACAAACGGTCGAACAACATGTTTGTTGCAGGTGATCCTCCTGACGTTCACGAGGGGGGGGGGTGTCCCCAACTGTCCCAACCCCCTGCCCCCAATTCCAGTTGTGAGTGTGCGGATCCCAGGTCGCACAAGGATTTTCAGAGAGCCTCAGGGTTGGTTATTGTTCCCCTAAGAATGAGGAGTTCAACCACGTTTTCTTAAACAACGGTCGTTTTCCATTTCATGGGGACCAGGGTCCGGTTGAAATGTAGCCCGACGCCAGGGACAGAAAGCACCCTGCGGAGTTGTGTCGAGGGAGGTGCCTTTGGGGAATAGGGTCCCTGCGCCTAAAATCTGCAAAACGGCCTTTCAGGGGAGCAGGGACCCCCCAAAAGGGGGACTTCAAGAGTGTGTTGTGTTCTTTTCCAGACAAACAAAGCAAGGCTCTCCCAAATCAAAACGAACATCTGAATGAGATGGCTCAATGTTGTCACTCCTGCTCATATATCTTAGCTTTACTTCTGCCACCAGTCCTATAAACTGTCTTCTAGTCTATTGCGTCACTCGTTCCATTCGTTTGCAGCTCGTTGTCGTCGAATCTAATATAGGCTATTGTCTTTTCTATTGTCTTTTGTTAGAAAAAGCACTCACAGTTTACGTGGAATGCAGCGGCACTAGTATTAGTATGACATGTCCAATCCCAAAAGCATTCGCAACGACACCCTCAAAAATGTAAACATGTAGCCAATGTATCATCGTCCATCCAGTTGTTCTTGCTTGGCAGGAGTACAACAAACAACCCTTGAGTGGAGCCAAACATGTAAAAATGCAATCAACCACAGAGGTACGTATTATCCACATTAGATGTTTCAAGCCAAAAAAAACAACAAGAAACACCAAGCGGGTTCACCTGGTTGGAAATCCGGGTTTCGTAGATTTGCCCTAACATCCCACCAAAAGGACACCAACTTTGAAATTGCCCAAAAGATGCTTCAATTTTAGACCCACCAACATAAAATAGAGCTGGACAGGTGTACTGGCCCCTTGTAGATCCCCAAGCTTGCAATTGAAACCCCACGACTGCCTGTTGGAGTCCAGCCAGAAGGAATCCCCCATCTTTCGGACATGCCTTTTCGGGGGGAACAAAGAAAACAGGCTACCCCATCTTCCCGAAACATCACCAAACCCGAGAAAGGAACACCGGACAGCCACTGGGGAAAAAAAACAAAACCCAAAAAAAACACCGCGGGGCTTTTCCGCAGCTCGGCTGTTCCGCGCGTCGCTCCGGCCGATCTCCGGGCCCCACGGCCGATCCGAAGATCGCCTGCTGATGGCGGGGTCCCCTTCCACCGGCGGATCGTTCCTTGCGGCGTGCCAGTCCTCAAGCTCGCGGAGGAGCCTCGGCTCGCGGCGCGTCTCTCTCGCGAGCGCGCTGCGGAACTCCGCTCGGCTCCTCTGTGTGGCCAAACACACCCTCCAAACGGGTGATTTCACGCTAAGATGGGCTTCCCCAAAAGCGTAAAGTGCAGGAACTCAGGGACTGAGTCCAAGTTTGGTGAATGATGAGTCACTGGCTGAAAATTAGGTCACCCCCTAGGGTTAAACTTTGAATGCTCCGAAGCAATTATGTTCTTTGAAAAGGATCAGTTCCTGTGACAATCTTTCGTGTCTGAAACAAGGTCGAAGCCGAAAATAGTTGACTTTAAAGCACTCAATATCGCCCTAGAGAGGAACTTAAAAAGTTGGCCGTTCACCAAGCAAGAAGACTCGCAAACTGACTTGGCCTCTCGCCAAAAACTGGACTCGCAAACCAAAATTGGTCTTTGCCCAAAGCTGTGTTCCCACTGAATTTGGTCCTTCCATCCCTTCGAAAGGTGTGTAACTCGCCTTCGCCTGGAATGTCCTCCCAGGCTCTTTGTCTCGTCTTCCCAAAGGGAAACTTACCACGCACTCCCCTACAATTCCCCCAAGGAGATTCCTCAACAAATGGTGGGTTTGGGGGGTTCATGGAAAACTGTAGTGCATGAAATAGCGGACAGAATTACGCACAGCTCTTGGCCCCGACCTGAACAGACCATCCCCAACCCCCGCGACATGCTCCCTTTGCACATTCCAGGAACATGTTCAGAACATTGGAAGTGTCTGCTGCGTCGATACATTCTAGGGACTCGGTGGGTCCCGCTGACTTTCGCAAGTGTTCGGTGTCCTTTGGTTGGACCACCCTTTTTGGGCTATGAATCTCCAACCTCTTTGAAGAAAATATGTCTATCTTCCTGGAATTAAAATGTAAATCCTATGCCCCGCAATTGTCCCTGCCCAGTGGGCGTGGAGCCGTTCGGGGTCCCCTGTTTGAGACAGACTCATTAGCTTGTTCGGATTCTCAGTTGTTTCACAATTAGCTTCAAAAGGGATCTGCCATTTTAAATGTCTTTCCAACCATCATGGAAGCAAATGAACGGATGGTTTTGGAGCATGACCAGCTTAAGCGACGGAACCTCCAATTCAAACTGAGTTGAAGAAATCTTCAACTCAGGGTGAGACCAAGCCATGCCCAGTGAAGGACATGGCGCTTCATGGCGTAGGCCAGAGACAGGGCGATGGCAGGATAGAGCCCCAGCAGGGCGACCCAGTAGACCCCGGAGCACCTGACAGTTTGGACTACAAAACGGACGGATGCCCTGAAATACTGCAAGAGAAACAACAGGGATCCTTATGGTTGGCTTCCTTGCAATATTTCGGGCATCCACCATTCCAAATGGGCGGCTGTGTTTGGATGGGGTTTGAAAGGGATTGTTCA